TAAAATCAATTAAGTCTCAAAAGTAATTTCAGTCATTTCCACTTTGTGACTTTCTTGGTGTATTTAGTTACATACCCACTGATAGTATAAATATTCTTTGCAAATATTCTGTTCATTAGGAAAAAAAAAGCACAGTACTTTAAATCATCATTTTTCAATATAAGAAATTAAACCATTGTTCAATTGCCTCTGTTGAACATGACTGCTGGATAAAAAGATTTTAGCCCAATATTATGGCTCTTCCTAGAAAAAGTAAAAAAAAGGATGGCTACTATGTAGTGTTAATACTTAGTTGGCCTTATGTGATAAGAGTTGTTAATTATTTCTGGGGCACTACAATCAAGAACAGAACTCCAGTGACTTGACTGGATATATTTCATTTTCAATCCACTTTATACTCCTTCAGTAGAGTTAACAAGTTTCTCAAAAAAAAAATTACACTCACTTTTTAAAAATTATTTAAACTCACTTTATGGTCTTTTAAAACACCTGGAAGTGTAATATCATAAATAAAAGTGAGTATCATGCTTGATTATGTTTTAAACTGGTGTATCAAAGATTCTTCTCAATTATATGAGAGAATAGAAAGCTCTGCTGTAGCAACATCACTAGCTTTCACATTTGTTTTGTTGTTTCTTTGTTTCTATCTTGAGATTTCTTTAGAAATCCTTGTATTCCTTATTCTTTATTACCACTGAAACCAGAAGTAAGATACCCATTATTCTCAGGGGTATATAATTAGGATGTATGTGTACTTCCATATTAAAATGAACATGGCAAGAATAGAATAAGGTAGGGTAGGGTAGGGTAGGGTTAGGTAGGGTTAGGTAGGGTAGACTAGAACAGAATAGTTGGAGGGGCCTATGTTGATCAATAGTTCAACTGCTTGACCACTTCAGGGCTGACCAAAATTTAAGGCGTATTATTCAGGGCACTATACAAAGACCTCTTAGCATTTGGACATATGCCTCTTGGCATATCTTTAGGCAGTAAAAGTATGCTATAAAAGCACTCACAAGAAAAAGTGCTAAAATATCTCTCATGATGTTTGCATATACTCAAAAAATCTAGAGCCTTAAGAAGTAAAAGATGTAGTTGATATAAATTATAGAACAAGTCAATAGCACTAACATTGTTAAACTCTCAATTCTCGCTGCATGAAACACAAATAGTAGAAAAGGCCAAAAATATCAGATTATCCTCCACTACTTTAGTTATGATGAAACTAAGAGTACTTAAATGCTTAAACAGAAAACAAACAAACAAACAAAAACAACAAAAAAACCCAAACAAACCCCCCCAAAACCCAAAGAGCAAAAAAAAAACTCAAAAAAAAATAAAGAAGAGAAAATACCATGTTTACACCATGCTTAATTTCCTTCCTGGACATCTAAAAAACAGAGATCGTACTAGAAACTGTGATTGCAGTATCTACAAGAGTTGCTACTGAATGCTCAGCTTCTGAAGCTCCTAGATCTGACTGAACAAAAGTGGTTAGGATTCTCTTTTTATCCCCTACTTCTGAATTAGGGAGAGGATAAACTTTCCTGAGCTTGACCATTCAGTTTCATTAGAACTAAGGACCCAAGAGGTGTTGTGTTTTTCTTCCAGCTATCCTATCTCATTATATTTTTCATTAGACTATCAAGGCGCATTTTGAAAGTAAGCTTCTCGTCCTTCATCTACTCCCTCCTTCTACAAGAAGACTTCATTGTTCCAATAACAAGAACTCTTCTTGCTCGTCTCCTTACTATATCTTCATTTAAAAGTATATCTTAGTATATAATATATTTGTACATATTATATACTAACTTGTCCTTATTTAGGTTCTCCATATACTGGCATTCACTTCTTGAAAATTTATCCTTTCATCCTGTCTTATATTTTATTTTCTAAGGTGGGACAATCAGAAAAATGTAACACCATTATAGTACTTTTATTCATCTAATTCAGTCTGAATTATTCTTGATGAGGACACTATGTATAGTATTCCTCATAAGATCTCACTACTGCCTTATAAAATGATACTTATACTTCCCTATCGCTAATGAAAATATTTCACCAAATGCATCTAGGATTTGTTTTACCTCTCTTAAATAATCAAAACTCAAAGTCATCTCCTCTTCTGTGATTTCCGACTAATAAGCTTAGAGAAGAAATTCTTCAGACAGCTTTTGACACAAATTAAAATCATTGTTGAGGATGACATAGTAAGTTTGGTACAATAATTCACATGTAGCAGCTGAATTTTGGATACATATAAACCTCTAGTACTCTCTCCACATCTCATTCATGCATACACTTCAAAAAATATGTTTACAAAAGAAAACAATATTGTTATCATCTACTCATTCTGAAAGACCTTATTGCCAGAACAATCCCATGGAAGGCAACAGTATTATTCTTTTTCTGTAGTTATTTTGCATCAATGCTAATAAAACCGCACTATTCTGATCTTACCAGTAATATTCTCAAAAAAGCCTACAGTTAAAACTATATGTACATTTCATTTTTACAATTTTAAATATCCACACATATATATAGTAATTTTTAGTAAATTATATTTAATATATTAAATTTTATCTTCTCAAGCATTAATTAATTTCCATAATTTGTGTGTGTAATTCTTAAATTAAGATCAAGAGCACAGCAAAAAATGCATTTCTAAAGTAAAATATAATTTTAATATCTATTAAATAGAGAAATAATTTAAAAAGCAATTTATATAAAATTCTTAAGTAGCTCATATATAGTTCCATAGAAATTGAATATGCAGAGCAAGACAAGTTTTTAGACCTTTGTGTACATTTCATTGTCAAAGAGAAGTTCAAATACTTCAATAGTAACCTACAGGAAACTGCAGAAACATCTGTGGAATATCCCTCCATAATGGATATTCTTTCAAGTCAAATAACAATGATCTCACATTCACAAAAATTCCTTTAAAATATGTCTTTGTCTTTGTAATAACTAATATTTTATGGAGGACAATTGCTGGTTATTTACTGAGGGTCATTTGATATGTTTTAATGACTGTTATAAGTATACTATCAAATATTGGTGTTTGCAAAGTAAAAATGGTAAAGTTTTCCTCAGTATATGCACACCACTTTAATAGCAGGCATACATATAGTGTTCTGTGAGTATGACACAATAAAAGAGAAATTAAAGATTTTCTTTAAACAATGTTAGCAAAATCAATACTTTAAATGTCATGAGGGAATAAAATGCACACAGAAGTAGGTGTGGGCTTTATTCTCCAATAAGGTCTATACAATTCTGAGTTACCTGTATGTGGGTTGTTGTACCTTTTCGTACCTGTGGTACTACTTTATCATGTGACAAATGAGCACTATAACATTAATTTAGCAGCATCTTGTCCCTAAATTACTCTTTCTTTTCATAATTTAATGTTTAGCACTTTAAAATGACAAATTAATTTAGAAGTATGTGCCTTATCTATATCTTGTATTAAAGAATAGGTCAGAGAAGAGAGGAACACTGAGAAAAAAGTGGAGAGGACACTGCAGTCTAATGATTACAAGCAGGAAATAGAAAAAACTGCCTGCATATCACATTTAACTGCCAAATTAGTACACTCATAGATCTTTAAAAAAAAATATTATTACAGGCCCTCAGATACTCCCTCTTAACTGAAAATAAGCCTGCTTTTTTTAACTGGATCCAAGATGTTCTGAAATGAATGCATATCCATACAGGCAGTACAAACCAAATTGATGATTAATTTCTAGCAGTCAATAACCAGAAAGTACTTCAGATTTGTCTTGAAATTAATACAAATTAAATATAAACATCTGTTCAGTTATTTATATTTCATATGCAAACCAAATACTCTGTGTTTTAGTTGTTCTATTTAAATTGCATATTTTAAAATTCTGAAGAATTGCAGCTCTGCTGTTTCAAAAGCTGTTAGTAAATGAAGCTACAAAACTTATACTAGATGACTATCCAGTAAGACAACAGATTCCAGTCTAAAGAAGTCCTTACAAAATATCAGTCATATAATGAAATTTCTATAAATTGCTTTTGCTATAAAAGATGTTTCTCCTCCATATATTTCATATTTGTGTTTATAAATGCTCAATTGATTAACATGAAAAATTCAAAACATATAATAAATTATATTCAACAAATACCCTGCAAAATTAAGCTGATCCTTCTCTGAACTTGTGTATGTATAAAAAAACACCACATGAAATTTTTTTCTGAATGTCTGCTGATTAAATTAAGACATTCCAGCATTACTTTTTCTTATCCTCATGTTTCAGATATCAACCTTTACCTTTTAACACAGCAAATAATGCTTGGTTTATATTCCAAATGTTGTTCATTATTGATACTTCAGCCTATGGATTAAATAATCTGAGTACAGGAACATGCAAAATCCTTAGCTTTACCACTTTAATACTTGCAAATGAATTTCCTAGTGTTCTAAATGTTGCTTTGATCATTGATTTCATATTTGATGGAATGAAAATGTACAGATGTTTTAAAAAGCCAAAATTTTGCTGAAAATTTAAGGAGAAGGGAGATGAGTACAACTGCATCACCTACTAGTTTAGAACAGCAGCTATTTATAAAGTACATTTTTTTACGCTATAGTTAATTATGTCTAAACACATATGCAGAATAGATTAATATCCTAATCTCAATTCTCTAAACTTTCATCAGATGTTACTTACACTAGCTGTATTATGAAATACAATGACATAAGCTATAAAGTGGCATCAAAGGAAAATTCCATATGTTTCCCTTTTGTCTTTTTATAAATCAAATCAATTTAAATTACCAAGACAATATTATTACTAATTTCATTTTTCCATTTGGCTGCCCCATTAAAATGCAAATTTAGGCAGATTTAATCCCTTTCACATTTGGTTCAACTACATTTCCTGAAAGGATACCTGAACTTTCACTTTTAACTTATACAAAATATTTTTGCATAACTACATGGGCACAAGTAAAATAATATCCAATACCTCTATGAGTAACAACTGCAAGTTCTTTAGTTCTTTCTATCTGCTCAGCATTTCTTGGCCGTCTTCTTGTGCTTTGTAAATTTTCTTGATGAAGAGAGAGTGCTTCCTTGTAACTGGCCGACTCCAGAATTGATTTTCTTATATTCATAGCTTGCACTTGTTGTTCTTCAGAAGGTTGTCTATGGGTGGTCACTGCACTGGATACAGCAACATCAGCAGATGTGCTAGCAACAGTAATGGCACCAGTAGTGGCCGCAATATGCTCCTCTAACTCACCAGTGGAGGCAGTTTTGATGAAAGAAGAACCTGTGGGACACACAGTAGCACTGGATGCTAACTCTTTCTTTTGAATTGTGTTTTCCTGATCAATCTAAAAGATTAAATTTCCCTCTGTTTAACATAGTAAAGACAACTGACATGAAAAGAGGAAGGTCAATATGCTTTATTTAAAAATTTGAAGCAATCAGAACATTGTTTAATGCTAGTGAACATTTTGTAATTATAGTGATATTGCATGTTAAGTTTTAAATGTCCTCAAAACTTATACTATAAACTTTTGTACCTGGCATAATGACAGCACATAATTTTCACCTCTGCAAATGCAGTCCTGAAATCAGCATGGCTAGAGCAAAATATACAGCTATATCATTAAAAGAACCCCCATGTGTAGAAAAGTGACAACCATCCTATCGAGGAGTGAAACAGCAGCATTATATAGTAACCTAGGCAGCAGGCAAAGCTAATAAGGCTGCCAAATACGTTCATTCTTTTCATCAAAGCTTGATAGGGCTCTAAAAGCCCATTTAGACTTGACACAAGGCCAAGGGTAGATGGATAAGAAAAAGTACACATTTAAACAAATCATCTCAGCATAATTATTTATACTTAAGATTGTACAGAGGCTTCATGTGTAATTCTCTTTTTGCTCTCTGATTACTGTAATAGGCCAGATTACTTTACTCAAAAACCCCACTCACAAAATGTTGGACAAGCTATAAAATTGTCTATGAAAACATTAACTTAGCACTTCTAATTTTTTTGTACTTAAAATATATAACCCATGTAGGATTTTTCAATATTTTATTAACATTTTCATCCTTCCCTATTCTCCACATTTGGCTGCACATGTCTGGAAGTCAAGTCTCTCACCTGTGAGCATTTAGAACATCTAACACAGTAGAAACTCCGTCTTGACTGGAACAAATAAATGACTGGGCAATGCATAACAAAATTCACCATAAAAATTTGCATAAACAAACTTGATGTAGCATTAACTGTACTGTGTTATACTAGTAGCTTTAAAATATGGCTTTTTTATTCCATAATATTGATTAGGAGTTCTTGAACAGTCATTCAAACAATAATGTTCCACACTTCTCTTTTTACTTTTGAGTCATCCTATCATACAGCCTTTGAGACTTGTCCTTAACGTGTAGTGGGTGATGTCAGGATGAAAAGAAGTTTTCTCACTGTTAGAAACACCTATACACTAGAAAATGGGAATAAGACTCCCAGAGGAACTAAGCAATAAATATAATTTTTCATGCACAAAGCATATCAGATCTCTGATCAGAATTCTCCAATGTTCTGTATAATCAAATGGAACAGATCCTCATGACAAAAATACCCTGTCTTGCTAATAAAGTCTCTATTGTTTACTGCAGAAATTTTAGGCTAAAAATGTTTTATTTCATTATACTATTAAAAAATACTGCTATAATAGAAAACTTTAGCGTTATATTGACAAGTAATAAAGCTGCTGTAGGTACATTATTTTTGCTGTCTTACATTTATTTTCATAAGATCTGTTGTGCAGTACAGCACTTCTAAATCATACAGTGGTGGTTTCCTCTAGAAAACTAAAAGAACCTTAAAAGCACAGTGTAAGACTACAGATTTATGTGTCAGAGACCAAACCAAAAACTGCTTACTGTCCTATGATGACAGGAGTATAAGTAACTAAAATAGACCTAGACACGTTTTATTCTTTATTTCAGAATAAAAAGAAAACTGTCACAACAATGCATAATATCAAAGGACTACACTATTTGTGATTCAGTATACAATAAATTTTGACAGGCTGGTACCAAGCTTAAAACACAGAAAATACAAATGCATGGTCAAGAGATATTTTGTAACAGAAAAATGTTGATTAAAAGAAAGAAAACTTAATGTATGTTACATAATCACTACTATTAAAGCAAAATCTATGTGGATGCATCTTTATCATGCAAGAAAATGTACAAGAACAAGCAATCACCTGCTTCCAATACCAAGTTCAAAGCAAAATTAGATTCAGAATCTCAGTCAAATGACCTATTGTATGCAATTGATTTAAAGAGGTACAGCACTTCAAATGAAAACAACTTAAAAGAAAATTCATCTCGAAAGAAAAAAGCAAGAAAAATTAAACTTAAGTTGCAGAGCTCATACATTGAAAAGTACTACTTTGATACAGAGGCAACTTTCAATCAGAACACCTAACTTGCTAGGCTTCCACATCCACTTATACTGCAGAAAAGAACCAATGAAGAAGATCAGTAAAGTCAAACAGCATGGTTTAATTTACATGGAGGATTTTTGAGAGAAAGTTAATGTATGTTATGCATAAACAATCTTGTAAGTATCAGCTACGGTATAGAAGAGATCCATTGATGTTTCTCTAAATATAATTTATAATCTGTGAAAGTATGAACTTTGGTGTCTTAGTATTTTATGAAAAGTTTCAGACCAATTGAAATACCTATGTTGTATGGGTATTGTAACATACTCTCCACTTCAGTCATCTGCAGTCACATCTGACATTTCAGTTTGTCAAAGAGATTACTTTAAAAATTATATTTTCCTATATGATCCAAAATATACTCACATATTATTTTACTTTAATATTCTGGTTAAAAAAATAAAAAAAAAAGAAAATAAAATCTAGCAATAATAAATGGCAGAAGACAGAAGAAAGGAAGACTGAACTCTGCTTTTGGGGAAAAGTTTAAACCAACAATTTGCAGTCAGCTGAAGTCATCTCAGAGGTAGGTCATAGCTTCAAATTCACAATCAGCAACTGAGAAAATTTGAGGCTTGAGGAACTGCCAGGCTGCACCATACAAAGAAGCAATAAGGACATGGGGGTGAGAAAGAGTAATTGTTGCTCAGGGCATGCGTTCACAAAGAAAAAGAACCTAACCAACCCAGCTGAGACCTACTAGACTGGACAAGCATTTCTCTAAGTAAGTCCCTGTGAAAGGAGAACAGATTAAAACCAGTAAAACTGAGGAGCTTTCACATATTAAATTAGCCTGCTTACACAAGGAAAGATTTGAAGTGATAGTTACACATAAAAATTTGTAACTATGTAGAAGTGGAAAGAGATCAAGCTGATGATCTACAGAGGAATTCAGTTCAGAAAACTAGTCTGAACAAAACACTACTCAAAAGTGTTGTAACTGCTAAAACTTAGGATAATGCAAACATATGGGAGACCCAAAAGTCTTTCTATTTATATAGGAGTGGAAGTTCTTGATTCCAGGTTCATTTTTAGTAAAGGAAAGAGGCAATAGCCTTTGACATTTGCCTGAAACAAAGTTCCAAAAATAGATTATGAATCTGTGCTAGATACACACACTTTGCATATGCAATATACTACCAGTACACACAGGGTTCCTGTTGTAAACATGACAGCAAAAGAAATTTACCCCAGATAAACTCATAGTGGAAATTCTCATTTAAATTAATTTAATGGACCAACTGTTACAATTCCTGAGGGAATAAACTAGGGAGATAATAAATACCTTTGCCCACCCTGCAGAAGTACTCATCAGAAAAAAAATTAAGGCAAAAAATGGTATCTAATAGAGTGAAAATGCTTGTTGAAAATTATCTGTTTATTTTCCCTTTTAGAAGACTATAACTTGGGAAAGCTTTCTTATTCCATATCCCCTCTTCTCCAGGTTGGAAAAGCTCAGCTTCCTCATCCTTTCCCCACAGGGCAAGTGTTCCAGCTCCCAACCATCTTGGTGGCCCTCCACTGAACTTGTTTCAGTGAAAAACCCTCTTCCCTGTCATGGGGCCCGAAACTTGATGCATTATTCCAGCTATGGTTACAGGTGTGTTGAGTAAAGGACAATAATCCTTCCTTTTAGTCTACTGGCCACAATCTTATTAATGTGACTTAGGATGCTGTTGGCCTTCCTTGCTGCCATGCCACACTGCAGGGCCATGCTCAGTTTGCTGTCTGCTGCACAGGGTCTACTAAGCAGAGCTCCTTTCTATCAAACAATCCTGTTGCCAGGTGTTCTTCCTACCCAATGCAGGACTTTACACTGGCCCTTGTTGAGTTTCATAGGATTCCTTTTGGCTCATTCCTCCAGCTTGTCTATGTCCCTATGGCAGCCCTGTCCTCAACTATACTGACTGTTGGTCCTCAGCTATAATGGTGGACATTTTGGTGTCATCTGCAAATCTAATAAGAATGAACTCTGTCCTTCATTCAAGCTCATGGATAAACACATTGAACAGAATTTGAATCACAACAGACCCCTGTACTACTACACTTGTTACTGGACTCTAGGTAGAGAGTCTGGCCCATTTAAATTCTCTAAATTTAATTTTTTTAACTGCAGTGGTGAAAGAACAGATAAAAATAAGTAAATTGTTTATAAGACCAAATAAATGGGATCTAAGGCTACTGTCCAACAGCTATTCTAATTAATTAGAATTAATTTTGCTGATTAATTCCTACAAACTAGGTTGAGTTCAAAATATGAAAGTAAACAGGGATATTCACTACCTTATTTATTCAGGATGAATTCAAGATCCAGGACTTTATTAGTCCTTGTGACACATATGATCCAGCCACAGACTTCTCAAGCAAAGCTAAAGGTCCTTAATGCAGATGACACTAAATGGAACTCAGACGATAGTAAAGTGCTAATGAGGTGTCTGACATGAAGTCAGCCTGGGACTTTTCCTGTGTATCTTATTACCAAGTAAGCCAGTCTATCATTTTGCAATGAGTAATTGAGAAAGAAGTTTAGATTGTCGTCAGCAAAAATTAAAATCTCATTAAAGAGAAAAAGATCTGGTTAAAATTATATATAGAATTTTTAAAAATTAGTAATAACTGTCTTCATTCTTCTTTCAGATGTTAAAGGACTTTTAGTCAAGACTTATTTAGCTTCCTTATAAACTTCCTATACTCAATTAACTTTGGAGTGACCAGTGCATCCTATTAAGAAGACTTTTTTTTTTTTTTCCTATCTTAATTAACTGTTCTCTTTGATGTTCTCTGTCACTAAATATCTGAGGCT